AAAATCTGGCAGATTGTTTGGTAATATTATTCAATGTTTCAGCCAAATGCATTACCCAGGAATTCTGTAACTGAGCCAAAATATTCATCAATTGTATTTAATTAATTTAAACCTAATTCATTTCTAGACTTTAAAATGCACAAAATATGGCAATGACCAAAAAGTTTGTTTTTTAGACAAAAATAACTTCAAATTTTAAAAATAACAAGATAAGTTTATTAAATAAGCAATCATTTATGGTGACATTGTCACAATGCCAAGCTTCAATTTTTCATTATATTTTTAATTTAATTTAAAATATATGCTCTCTGCCTCAAATTAGTACAGTAGTGTCTCGCTTCTGTACATCCTACTTTTCCATTAGCAATAAAGTCATGCTGGTTATCTATTAACTGCTTTCAGGGGAAAGGTTTTGAATTGAAATAACGTGACTTACAGTTTGCATCAGAAGTTCATATATAGTTAACTGGGGCCTCCGGCCTCTAAGGTATCCGTTTCTGGTCTTGAATTTCATTTATCTAACACTGTTCTCGAAATTAAGGAAAGACAGGCAGGTGGATGACTGTGGAAATTTATAGGGCTACAGTTTTTCACTTTGCAGCCCAATTAAATAAATTATCTTAATCATGTTTTAATATAAAAGCAATGCACTTATGACTGGTAATTTACATTAAAACAAATAAAAATACATAATTCATGCTGTACCTTTCTCCATTAATATTTGACTTAATATATTTAGAAATAGATAGTGAAATTACAATTGAATTTGTGATATTTCAATTTTCAATAATGCTGAAATGATGTGTATTTAAAGCATCAATGTTAGTCATTATCTTAATGCTATTGAAAGCTGTGCATATAATCATTCTCATTTTACAGTATATTACATCAAATGAAATTCCAGATTGCAGGGGGAGTCAATTGACTTATTACAATTTTTTTCATTGCACATTATCATAAAAAATTCATTTTTTGTCACCAGTAATTAGTGACTTCAAAAAATAATCCAATTATGTTTCAGCAACAAATCATTCTGTCTAACAGATTTCTCTTGCTTAATTGATGTGGTATACAAACAACAGCGTAATATGTATTTTAAGTTGTGTAAACGGCTGATAACTGATCATTGAGCAAAAGATAACAATTCTGAAATTTTCCTGATGGTTTATGTTGGTTCTCTTGAATTAATGCAAAGATTGCATCAACAACAGCTGAGGGTCTTTTAGATCATAATGCATTTTCTAATAAAAATATCCAGCACAAAAAAGTGTGAATCAAATAATAAATGTGCAAAGTGATGTTTGTGTGTGCTTTTTCTTTTTTCCTTATTTGACACATCCAGACATTGATAGCAGATTTTTTCATAAACAACACTTATCTTTTATTATGCAGTTGTAGCATTTTTCCTTTTATGGAAGTAGAAAAGCTTAAAGTGACAAAAATGAGACTTAAGATTCTCATTTTTCAACTACAAAAATATAAATGCAATGATAACAAAAATTAATAATTTATTTGTGATACAGATTACAAAATGTTATATTCAAAAACAAATATAATCTGCCATTAATTACCATTAATGAGACTAGTGACCGTCTTATGCTGAAAATAAAAAGAAAATGAACAAACAATTTGATCAACCCAATAGAATTTTTCAAAAGAAAATCAAAAATCAAACTAGACTTTTTTGAAGTTTGATAAATTCATTCTTAGAGCTAATTTCTGATTAAATAATAATCTGTGAACAAACCAAAGCTCTACTTCCAGATGGATATCGAATATAGTTTGTTCTATTTTTACTTAATTTTTGTAAAAGTAAATTGACTTGGTAATTTTTATAATTTTTCTAAAGTGGATAGATCAATGGTAACTTACAGGAACCATTCTTATTCCTATGTCATCTGGAAAATAAGATATAATTTTGATTGTGCAGCTACTTCAAAGAACCAAAAAAAAATTCATAAATAAATAAATATATATATTAGATAATTGGCCAAAATATAGCCCAAACAATTTGACAGATACAATTATAAAATAAGTCAAATGGAAAAAATGGAATGCTGAGACAGAACATCCTAAAATTCATAAGTGTTAAAAATATAGATGGCTCATAAATGTTTTATCATCATATTGCTTCATTTCAAACTAATAATAAAGTTGAAAAAATTAAACAAAATTTTAACATTGATAATATCCAAAGACATGGATTTGAGAGTTGAATACACAGCTCTTATTTGCTATAGAACAATATGCTCAACAAATGAAGAGCTTATATGGTAAAGGTTTATGGATTGTAATGATGAAGCCTTCAAACAGAATGATAAGATTCTGTTTTGTTCATACAATTATTGTTTAGAAAATGCCACATGAAAATTTACTTCACTATTATCTTCTAACTTGAAAGTTATTTTTAAGTTAGTTTTAATATTTTACATTTTATAAAAATGTTATTTTAGTGAACATAAAATGGATTTCTACACTATAAAGTTTAAAAAATAAGCAAATAGAGCAAAATGATAATGACAACACTTAGTTTCTATTTCATTAACAAAACAACAGGAAGTAATGTTGTTCATAAAGAAGTTAAAACATTACAAATAAGCTAGGGCTATTGGTTTAAATGTACTGTATATAATTAGTTTAGTCATCAAAATTCACTTTACAGAAATAAAAAAATCAATGAGTTAACATACAATATAAATACAATAAACTCATCAGTCAGTTTCTAAACAGTGCTATATACAATGACATTTCAGAAAAGGTAAACTCAGCAGAAATTTATTAGCTTTTACAAAATAAGTTTAAATAGATGTGTCTAATAATATCAATTAAAGAGAAAATAACAGAAGAATACTAAAAGCATGTGTATACATTTTTTAGCACTTTTGGGAAAAATTTCAATAGCAGATGAATATGTCTGTGGGTGCAAAAGATTTTCATATTTTCTAAACAGTCTCAATGACTTTACATAAAGAATTAATCAATGAGTTCATAACTACAGTCGACCCCCCTATAAGATATAGATACGTTCCAATTTATTAGGAATCCGATTTCTTACAAGTCGTTCCAATCACAGCCCGACACGTGTCAAGTTTACGGACTACGGCTGATTGAAAGGTTTTCTTCAATAAAATTAATCGATTCTACACTAATCCGACTCAACATTTCCAAAATACGTATATTTTTTCGTAGTTTTATAGGAATTGTAATTATAGGGACCATAATTATAGGGGGGGTCGACTGTACAGGTTAAAATCAGCAGATAAAAAAACCACACGTACATATTCAAACTGACTTTAAACATATAAATCTGTATATGTATCATAATTTCATGTACAGATACATATTTTCATGTACAGATACGTATATTTCCATAGATAAGATGACCTTCAGATAAGATGTGTAAATTTTCGTTGAAGTTTTATAGTTTTAGCATATATCTGTCCTATAAGACGACCCCCAAACTATCAATGGCCTATGAATTTAGTTTAGATCAGCGATCATCATCTGGATAATAACATTGTATAGCGTATACAGAATTATGTCCTATTCATAATTTTTTGAAAGAACTTCAAATTTTATTTTCTTGCATCTTTCAACACTGCCTTGCAATTGTTGCAAACATTCACACTGATTCAAGCATTTGGGTAATGACCTTGAGTACTCACAAAAATGTCATATCGGCTATTCTATTTTGTGGACATACCCTACTCTCTACCAGTAAATAATTACGGTTTGTTGGTTTTTTTAATAATGGTTTTAATTTATATAAATTTCAATCTATTTTTTTTTAATATCTGTGCTATAAGATGACCGTGAATTTTGGGGGTCTTTTTTTATGATTCAACTATTGTCTTATCTGCGCATATATACAGTATATATAATTTCATTTACGAGGCAAAAGATTTATATTTCTATTTATACCAGGTTGTTCAATAAGTTTTGTCATTCGATAAGAAAAACACGATTTTATGGCTTGAAATACATTTTATTATTCAATATAATCTCCCTGAACTTCAATACACTTGTTCCAGTGATCTTCTAATTTATGGATTCCATCCCTAAAGTGAGAATCCGGAAGACTGTCGAAATACGCATCCACGGCTGCTATTACCTCTTCGTTCGATGAAAATCGTTTCCCACGCATGAATTTTTTTAGATGTGAGAACAGCCAGAAGTCAGAGGGAGCTAAATCTGGCGAATAGGGAGGATGTTGCAACAATTCGTATTTTAATTTACTGATTTTCGCAATGGTTTTTTGAGCTGTGTGAGAGGGGGCGTTGTCTTGATGAAAAATGATTTTTTTCTTTTTTAAACCAGGTCTTTTCTCACGAATTTTTACATCTAGCTGGTCCAAAAGGTTACAATAATAATCTGAGTTTATTGTTTTACCAGTTTGGAGGTAATCCACAAACAAAATTCCTTTTGCATCCCAAAAAACTGATGCTAACACCTTCTTGGCCGATTTCTGGACCCTAACACGCTTCGGAGCCGAAGTACCGGGTTCACACCACTCTTTAGCCTCTTGTTTTGATTCAGGATCATGGTGGTAGACCCATGTCTCATCCATAGTGATGAAACGACGCACAAAATCCTTTTTATCCTTTCTAAAACGCTCCAAATGTTGCTGAGAAAGTTGCATTCGAATGTGTTTTTGTTCCATAGTTAACGAATGCGGCACCCATTGTGCACACAGCTTTCTGTAACCCAAAACTTCAGCCAAAATATTGCTCACACTGCCTAACGAAATCCCTAGGGCTTCTACTAAATCTCTCTTGGTTAATTGACGATCTTCCAAAACCATATGCTGTATTTTTGCTACGATTTCTGGTGTTGATGCACTTTTTGGACGCCCTTCACGTGGATCATCTTCAAGACTTGTACGACCACGAAAAAAAGACATAGGCACGACAAAGAATCCGAGGTGGATCCGAAAAGACATAGGCACGATTTTTCGGATCCACCTCCCCTCGGGGAGCGAACCCCTCCTGGGTAAAGTGAGGATGATGTGCTTAAACAGAGCCATTCGTTGCACCAGGAAACAACTTTATTCTAAGTTAACAAAAGTGGTGGAAATAGAAAATTCTTTGTTCCAGTCGGGTCCCGGGATCCTATCGGGAGAGAATGCCAAGATAGTCAACATCCAGGATAGGCTTAGAATCAATCTAAAGAGGCATTATCAGAAGAAGTTTCAATGGATTCTACAATTCCAAGTTCCCAAGAAGTGCAAGCATCCCTCATTCCCGTTTATAGTGTGGGATAACATAGACCTACCGAGTTTTGTGGTGGAGGTTCTCAAATTTGGACCAGCCTTTGCACTACCGCCAAAAAAGGCGGACGCAAGAAGCCTTATTCCGGATCTGGAAATTCTACTACGAGGGCTATCGGACAGACAAAAAGAATATTATCGATGGATGGCCACGTTAAAAATCAAGAATTCCAAGGAAACATCTGAGATAACGGATCTAAGAGACAAGCTACGACGTACGGTGCGTTGGATGAAACTTAACAACATCACTCTTGTCAGGGCCGACAAAAATAAATCCATGGTTCTCATGAAGCGTGACACCTATGAAAGAGGCCTACAGGAATACTTAACACTTACCCATTGCGATAAGGCTGACGAGGGTTTTATCGATAAGCTGCATTCAAGAGTGAAACGGTTCGCCGGTTCCGGTCTCGCTAAACGCTTGGCACTTGGTAACTTAGTGGTTGACTCCCCTGACGTCCCTAAATTATTTGCTTTCGCAAAAACGCATAAACCGGGCCAACAACTCCGCCCAGTCGTGGACAAAGCAAGAGCGCCTACACAGAAGTTGGAGAAAGCTGTACATACTATTCTCGCCCCACAATTGGAAGGCTACCAGTACAGTATCGCTAGCCCGGTGGAGCTCCTAACACAATTGAAAGAGATCACATCATACCAGTACGTAACAGTTTTGGACTTTAGGTCCCTATACCCATCCATTGAGCTCCCTCCCGCTTTCTGTGCGCTAAGGGACATTTTGTTTAGTATAGTCGGGGATAACGCGTTACACAACCAAGTACTTGAAATGGCACATTTAATATGTTATAATTCTGTGTTCCAATTCAATGGTGAGGTCTACACACAAGGCAGAGGGGTCCCCATGGGAAGCCCGGTTTCAGGGGACCTATGTGAGATGGTGGTCCGGCAGTTGGAGAAAAAAATCCTCCCACAATTCCTCCCTAACATCGAACTTTATAGGAGATATATTGACGACATTATTATTATCTGGAAAAATGTGCCGGATATAACAGCATTGGTAGACGCTTTTAATAATAACCCGTACGGGTTGATGCTAGAATTAGAACAATCTGACACCACTGAAGTACATTTCCTAGACATAAATATTAGGTTAGAGAAAGAGGGCATCAGCACTGCGGTGTATCGTAAACCAGGATCTATGTCCTCGTACATCCCGATAGGATCATGTGATCCGGTACCCTACAAGATGGCGGCATATAAAGCCTTAATCAGAAGAGCCTTCACACATTCTTCTAACGTGCAGGCTCGTGATAAAGAGCTAACGTATATAATGCGAGTAGCCGCGGAACATGGGTATCGCACAGCCATACGTAAGATGATAAAAAGTTATAGCCGGATGTATGCGGATAAAGAACGGCTGGTAGACTGGCGCGTTGATAGAAAGGAGGTTCCGGAAGACATGGAACGTATACCCGTCACCTTTAACCCATATGTAAGATCTATATATGACAAGATCGCCAAGAAGCGCCAAATCAGTATTGCTTACAGGAGGTGCCCTACTATTTTTAACATCCTAAGGAATGGGAAGGACCCTCCTAACCCCAGCAGAAGACCGGGGGTCTATAGTGTCCCTTTGAGAGATAACAGATTCGACAGGGACTTAATATATATAGGCTCTACTAAAAGATCCATAGGTGTCAGAATACAGGAGCATAAGGCAGACATTCGTCACGGGAGAACCAGCACGGCCCTCGCTACATACGCAACAGACCCGGGCATAGTTGCTGACTTTAATAGGACCAATCTCCTCCTCGGTGCGCCTCCCAATGAACATCTCAAGTGGTTAGAGGCGATGCACATCTTTAAATCCTCTATCGAAACCACGTGCATAAATTTTAAAGAGGAGATGATCTTGTCGATGGCCTGGCAAGAGTTGATACATAACACGCTTTAACTGCTCGTTATTTCCGAGCAAGCGGACATGTCACGCATGCGTGACGGATAATTTAAAAGAAATGTTCGATCTTAAGAAAGAAATTATTTAAACAACGTTCGTTAATGTCTTTCGTTGACGGCAGTTGTTAGTTTGAACGGCATGCGCGACACATTTTTTAAAAAAGAACTGTTCGATCGCAAGAACGAAGTTATTTGAAATATCGAATTTACGAGCTAAAAAGCTAAAGGGACCTGAGGAAGAACCTAGAAGAGGTTCGAAAACGTTTGTTTTTCGTTTCGTCGTTCGTACCACACATTATTTTGGTTCAGTGTACGTGTTTTTTATTAAATAATTTAGAACCTTCTGGAATAAACACATATTTCCATGTGAAAAAATTTTGTTCAGCCCCAGGTCAGTTCTTTTATTCCAGAAGGTTCTAAATCATTTAATAATTTATTAAAATTATAATTATTAATTTAGTTAAGAGATGGTGCCTAATGCCTCCCTCTAGTGACAAATTACTTTATAGTAATCATTTAATTAGCCAAATTATAGCCCAATCTTTCAGGCAATCATTGGTTATTTCATTAATTTATTAGTATACAGGATGTATCAGAATGACATTTTAAAAATTTGGGGGCTTGTAGAGGATAAAATTTTGAACGTTTTGATATAAGGAACCTAAAACTGGAAATGTGATATAAAGTCTCTACAGCACTTTGCACGTTCTATGTGGTCGGTATGCGCAATGGTATTTCCTTGAGCTTCACCATAACACAAATTCATATCAGCAAGTTCTCCAAATGTGTAGTTACCCTCCGTGATGCCAGAACATATCCACAGTACGTGAAGCATGATAAGCAGACAACTGTACACTGACTCACGTTGACTAGCAGTGTGTTTACAGCACAACACCAGTGGATGTAAGGGGTGACTAAAGAATGACAAGCACTAAGTACACAATGTCCTATACACAGGCTCAGTTAGACCACTGTAGTTGTGTTTACAGTCTTCCATCTGCAGCAATAACATGACGTCAATGGACAGAAGGGTAGCTACCAAAGTGAAGGGAGGTCAAGCACTTCCTACCACTGTAGACTCTTTAGTTCAAATTTCCGGCTATAGGTTCCTTATATCAAAACGTTCAAAATTTCATCCCCTACAATCCCCCAAATTTTTAAAATGTCATTCTGATGATACACCCTGTATATTCCATCAAAACCAATATCAATTTTTATATTTAGTTCTACAGTATAAACTGAATGATTTGATATCCTTTTCTAATTTATTTCAGAATTTATCCTTAATGTTATATATAACAAACTTAAAAGTTTCATATTTGCTCATTTTTTATTAATAGTCTTTCTTTGCAACCATTTATCAGATTTATGAAGCTAAAATTTGCTTATTTGCAAAAGGATTAGCAACAATAATAAAACAACAAATAGAAATCATGGTTAAAATCTTCTAGTTTGCGTTATTTTAGCATGTGCTGTACATTTAGTAATGAGTAAACATCTTTTTATATTAGTATGCCATGTCAGTGATATATGTTATGAAAATATTCTAGTTAAGCTTTTTTCATCCTTACAAATCTTATCTAAACAAAATATCAAAAAAGCCAAAGTAAATAATGTCCCTTGAAAATAATAAAATGTTACATCATTTTCTGGAATAAAATTCAACAGATCATCATTAAGAAATATGATAAAATTTTTTCATAAGGAAATATATTTTTATTTTCTAATTATATGTTTTTCAGTTCTCTAACCTAGTTTTTTTTTAATGTATTTCTCTTTCCTTATTCATGGCAATTTTGCAGAACATAGTTTCCACAACTTTTATTGTATTATGAACAAACATTTATACAGACTTATATCACAAATATTAAAATCTGCCTTTTTTTTTACATATAATCTTCATGCCAAATTATTGTATTAATTTGCAGAATAATGATGATTGCAGCAATGATATTGTATTAATTTGCAGAATAAGATTAATCATCTTATAAAATTCATTAACACGTTCATGTCGTTATGAGGCACATGTGACTTGTATGGACATGTCTAGTTAGGCTACAGACATAATTGCTTGTTTTTCCGTGGGCGGCGCATATGATTTGATAACATAATTCTACAATCATCATACTTGATATATCAATATTATTTTATTAAGTGCAATAAAATATATTAATTTAATATAAAAGGCACAGGTGACTTGTGCCACCCTGTATTAAAATAGACTACAAGTCACCCGTGACTTGTAATGCCCAGCAGCTGCCTAAATGTTTATCTACTGATGCTGTGAACGTGTTAAAATTTGAAGCACTGTTCTGTGAATGCATAATCAACAATGTCACAATTATTTATTTGTTTATTTACTCTAGCAAATAATTTTTTTTAATACTTAACATAAATAAGGTAAAATTAAAAGTATCATTTCATATGCTATGTGAGATAAAAATTGTTTTTTAAAATTTAAACAAATTACAGTATATAGGTAGTTTTCATAAACACAAGTTTAATGAGTATGAATTGTTATCCTGTAAATTTCACTTACTAAAATCTTTTGATTTGTTGATTTAAGTGGCTAATTTTATAAGTAACTTTTAACTATAAATATAAACTATATTATTTTAATTTTTAAACATTTTTTATTTGTAACATAAGATCAAATTATTTCAAAACTATACTATTATTAATTCTTTTTAAACTTTTCTAGGGTTTTATAAAAAAGTTTAATAATAATTTATGTAAAATTTAAAACATGCCACAATAAAAATTATACAGCATTAAACATGGATAATGTTGCTGTGAGAAATAATCAATCTGATTAACAGAATTAAAGTGATTTAAGATAGTAAGATTAATAATAAATTATATAACTAATATGGAAAGACAATATTGGAGATGCTTAAGAATTACACTAAAACATCAACTTAAAAATATTTGTTAATAATTTTAAAATAAAATATATTTTAAGCATTAGTTATTTTTATACATATAATTTTATTTAAGATTAAATAATAATCATCACTTACCAGATTCCTGTAAATATCTGTAGACAAGAAAATTAACTTCATCACTATTGAAGCTCATCTTGTTTCATCAAACCATGTAATTCATATAACTAAAAAATAAAAATGAAAAGTAAAATTTGGATTATTGCAGAAAATTTATTATAAACTCTATAGGAAATTCTAAGAAAAAATAAGTATTTTGAATTCTCAACAACTAGATATTTAAAATATTTTTCTTAAAATTCACTGCTAACAATCATTTAGTTTAACTTTTCATGTATAGCATAATTTTCATTTATTTATTTCATCTCAGTATAATTTAAAATTCAAAAACTCTGAAAAACAATTACATTTTTTAAATTTTGTTATAGCTACTATATTAAAAGGGTATTTTTGAAGTGTATGAATGAATCTTTAATTTAATTACTTTATTCTTCAAAAATTTTTTAAGATACAAATTAGTTAATCTTGTCAGGCATCTCCTGCTTAAATCTACCGAAAGTCTGATCTTTAAGCATAAATATTCCTACTTTAAAATATATATATTAAATACATCTAAAAAACAAAAATTTCATTTACTTTGTTACAGAAAATGTTCTTGCATCATTGATATATAATAGTTATCTAATATAATAAAGTTATATCAGCCTCATTGACTGAGTGGCTGGCTAGCTGATATTAAATGTTTAAGCAGAAATAGCCTTACAGAAAAACAAAACAGTATAGTTGAAAGACAACATTGAATATGTAACCTGAAAAATCAAAAATCTTACAAAGTCAAATATTTCAGGCCCCATTCGATGTCAATGTTTGACTGTTGATGCTCATAGAACACATCCTATCAATGTGGTTAATTGACTTAAGCATCATTTGACGAATTTTTTAGAATGTTTATAACTATTAATTTAAAACTTAAATTACATTTTCTTGTGTCTTCTCATCAATTTTCTTTATTAAAATTTTTATTACTTATAATTATTGATTCATTCTATATAAAACAATATTGTTTATATAATGAATTACAACCATACCTCAGTATCTGGTAAATCCTATATCCAAATTCCCATCACAGTGAATGATTTTTAGTACACATTATAAATTCAATCAAATAATCTTAATATTACAAATTTATTTAAATTGCATTCATAAAAAATTCAAGTTATGCTGGTAAAAGTAGAAATGCTTCTATTCACAATATCTGTTTTAACTTGTTTCAGTGGCATTGTGTCTGTATTCTACTGCAGTTGTGCAGTTTATTTCACAAAAATTCAGTATTTTATAAGTTTATTCTTATTGTTATTCTATTTTTGGACAGTAATATTCTAAACAAACAGCAACATTACAACACAATACATTATAAACTACGATAGCATATGGCTTACAGTAATATTCTAACAAAATGTACAGTACACCATCATTAACATTACATTTTCATTGCTGCCTACTACATATGAAATATAAATAAATCACAGTTCATTTACAATTCCTGACAGAGGATAATATTTATTTTTTTATTTACTGAATTACTATTTATAAACATAACCTTTCATGACTAACTGTTTGTTATTAGAGTAATTGGAACTTGCAATGTTTAATATTGTGCTAAAACCATGAACTGATAGGTGAACACATGTTTTGCAATGTTTTAGTCTTTTGGGAAAATTTATTGGGTTATTCAGACACACAGGAAACAAATTAAAATTTTTTTTTATAAGAAATAATAGAAAAACAAAACTTTTCAATATCCAAATACAGTAGAGTCTGCATAAGTCGTCATAGGTATAACTAGACACTGTCAGTTAAGTAGTCAGTTTTCTGTGTTCCTGGTCGACTTACATAGGCATTAATGTTAAAAAACTCTGGTTTACTTGACACCATTTAACTCGTCACCACTAGCTAAATCAACATACTTTTTCTGTTCCACACTCATTTAGATGTCTGATAAGTCAACTCCTCTCCTAAAAAAAAGTGTTTACACCACACAGCTTAATGTTACAGC